ACTGTTTGTCTGGCCAATGTTATTCGCATGTTTTTAATCAATCTTTAAGTGAGCGCCTCTAATATTATCTGCAGCAGCAGGGGTCTGTTAAAATCCCGACTCAGTCGCTGAATGCCTCAACCATGGATAAAAATGGTGGCATTAACCTTTGTGATTAAATATTCCATTTCTGAAAACTTAATAGACAAAATTGACGGTATTATTTGCAGACAATGACTGAAGTTATAAGGGATTCAAAATAGTTGAACCACCAAGAACAAGAAGGCTATATGAACGAAAAATTGAAACATTGCCAAATCCGACCAGCTGAAAATCAATCAGAACAAATGTGATGTGTAATTATTCTTAGCTGAAATACACAACTGTTTAAGGTTAGGGGGTGGGTCTGACGCCAGCAAACTAGTTTAACCCCGCAACATTCTGTACGTGTCTGACCCAAGCCAGGAGCCTGATATTCATTGGTTGCCGTTTGTTGCTGTGTATCATATTTGTTTTTTGTTCATTATTTTGTACATAAATCAGGCCGTTATTTTTTTCGTTTGAATATTGATTTACATTTGTCATTTTGGGGCCTTTTATAGCCGACTATGCGGTATGGGGTTTGCACATTGTTGAAGGACGTACGGTGACCTATGTGTGTTAAATTATATGTCATTTGGTCTCTGGTGGAGAGTTGTCTCATTGGCAATCATACTACATCATCTTATTCTTATCTTTAAATAATTTATGGCACAGGAAATCTCTTTTGAGTAGGACTTTTCTCTGTCATTCAAAATATGATCGACCATGTCAATATTGTTTGATAGTTTCTAAAGAAAGTTATGTCCCAAAACTCAACTGAAACGTATTTTTAACCGAAAAAAGACGCGTTTATTTGTAAAATAAAGAGTAAATTCGATAAGTTTTTTTATACCGTTATCTTTTAAAGAAATAGTTGCTACGGTTTGATTAAGTTTTGCTTTAAAAGATGAATTTTCTCTTCGAAGGATCTATAACTCAGTGGCAATATCAATAGTAAACAGATTGTAAGTAATTTTACCCTGTATATGTTTAATTTACAAGTTCAAGAACAGAAACAAAGTGGAATTTTGAAACAAAAAAAGAGTCAAAATAATGAACTTGAAAAAATAATTAATTTTACAAATTTTCATAAGATAAAAATCTTTACCAAGCTAAACTTTGCTGTTGGAGATTATGTCGGTCAAATATTCAAATTTTACATCTATTTGTAAAATATGCATTCAAGGACATCTCGGGCCAAATAATTTAAACAAATTTGTATCTGTAACTTTTAACAATATCATGAAATTCATTACATGACGTCACAAAGTATATCGGTTTTTAGATATTCTAAAAATAACCGTGCAATATGCTTTTTGCTATGCAATATGCTTTTTGCTATCCGCCGTTTTCTGTCTACCTTCGAAAATATAGTTTAACATGTGACTATCCCTGAACGAATCAAATTAGTTAAAATATACGAATTAATAATATAATGTAATATTGAATATGTACAGTGATATTAAATCTCGTATATCATATAATAATTGTAATTCGGAATACTTTGCTTGTGACAATGGTGTAAGACAAGGGGAAAACTTATCACCTTTCCTATTTTCTTTATTTTTGAATGACTTAGAAAATTTCTTAGTCAGTAAAAATATCACAGGACTTAAAACTATTTCAGAAGATCTGGAAAGAGAATTAGAAATATACTTAAATTTTTTTATTATATTGTTCGCAGATGACACGGTATTGCTGGCCGAAACAGCACAGGACCTGTAGACTCAACTCAATGCCTTTCATGATTATTGTTAGGTTTGGAAATTGAAAGTAAACGTTGACAAAACCAAAGCTTTAGTGTTTGGTTTTGGACGTTTGCCAAAAAATCTCAGATTTTCTTACAATGACACTAACATTGAGATAGTAAAGCAGTTTAACTATTTGGGAATTATTTTTACTAAAACAGGGAATTTTAATATGACAAAAAAACATTTATCCTATAAGGTCTTAAAAGCCATGTACGAAGTCCTGAAAACGGGAAGGATGTATCAGCTTTCCATGAAATGTCAGCTAGATCTTTTTGACAAAATTGTCAAGCCCATTCTGTTGTATGGGTGCGAAGTATGGGGTTTTAGTAATAATGAGGTATTAGAAAAGATACATTTAAAATTCTGTAAATTACTTTTAAATCTGAAATCCTCAACACCAAGTTATATGGTTTACGGGGAACTAGGTCGCCATCCGGTTAACATAGACATAAAAGTTCGAGCAGTATTATTTTGGGCAAATTTGATTTCCGGCAAACAAGTTTTCCTTTATATTGTATCAACTTTCTCGCCATATGAATGCTCATTATAACATGCAGACTAAATGGATTCTATTTGTCAAAAAAATATTTCAAGATTGTGGTTTCTCATATATATGGGAAACACAAAATTTTATAGATAAAGATTGGTTAAAAACTGTTATAAAGCAAAGATTATTAGACCAGTTTCTTCAGAATTGGAATTCCCTTATTCAAAATTCGTCAAAAGCTATAAACTACAAAATTTTTAAGAAGAACTGGGAATATGAGGAATATTTTAATATTTTGGACTTTAAAGATGCCGTTGTTCTTTGTCAATTTCGAATGACTAATAACAAATTGCCGATTGAAACAGGAAGGTGGCAAAACGTATTGAGAGAAAACCGTGTTTGCCATCAATGTAACAATCGACAAATTGGTGACGAATATCACTTTATATTTGAATGTACTTTTTTCGATCAAAAACGTACAGAGTATTTATCCTCCTATTTTGTACAACGACATAATACATTTAAATTCTCGGAACTTATTGTCGAGTACACGAAAACCAGTCCTGAAGAAACTTTGTTTATTTATAAAACATGTTAATACTTTTGTTGTCCTCCTGGCTAGTGACTTCTGTAACCTCTCTCCTTGTTTTGTATATATTGTAAATAGTTATTGTTGTTATCTCTGTACTGATGTAATGCATTGGCTTTATGAGAATAAAAGAAAGAGAATTAAAGACATCCGTGTGTGTGGTGTATTTATACCTACCGTGTACTACCCAGACAACGGTACTATCGGGAACCGTCACGGCACTGTTAAAAGGAGAAGTGAGAGTGTGAGAAATAGATTTAATTTTTCGGTAGTCATGAGATACATGAGAGTTGGTGTTAAGAATAGAAGTAAAAAGAACTAGATTTTTCTTTTATATACGAATATTAATATGTACATATTGTTACATTAGTCGGAAGATATTAAATAATTATAACTTTAGATCTAAATACTGTGTTAGTTGTTTATATCTAATATGAAATTTTCCATAGATCCGCTACCAAAGAACAATCTTGCCATAGTCACCATCAAACCACATTAGATTGGCACGCTACATAAAGGTTAAGGTAGCAATAAACAGTTAACATTTGAAGCTGAAATTGGGTCTCTAAGTGCAGGAACATGGACAGGCATTTTGAAATGGATATTGCCATTTTAACATTAATACCCAAACATGTATACATATTTAGAATCCTATTTCTTAGCAGATTCCAAATCACTTACAAAAAGGGTAAAACTAAATTACATAAGTTCAGTATCCATGGAAACATATGGTGTTATTTTTCTTATTTTTTCTTCAAAAATGGCTGCGAGACCCCCCATAACAGGCTTAAAAATATCTTTGAACCAGAATTTCAATGAATATCAGACATACATTGTTTCAACACTGATATATAGCCTTTTCAAAAAATGGAAAAAAAAGTGGGTGTCTTTCGTCTCATTTTCCCGCAAATTACCTTTCAAAAGTTCGTGCTTAATTCACATCTTTCCAAAACAGTCAACAAATGCTGATATAATTTCAGAGTCACTACTGGAATGGACATGAATATGAACCCGAAATTTGCAATTCCTATGAACAAAACATGGTTCAATCTCTTCTCTGGAATCATACCTTTCCATTAAAACCACTTTCATAGCAACAATTTTCAATATTCTTAATTTAAACATAATTTTAACTTGGGTTTGTCTTTTATAAAAAAAATCCAAATGCGAAACTAACAATCCTAACTGTGTATTGCTACCTAAAAGACGTTTGAAAATTACCTCAAGTTTGTGTTAAATAAATTCAAGGGGAAATAGCATGTATTGTAGATTTGGTATGCAGTATCATTTGTAGAAATACATTTTTAATCAAAGGCAAAACCCTACCCTAGAGTCATGATCCATGAAATTATAAATTGTGTTACTGATCTAGTACTATCATGTAAACATTATCACATTATAATTTCTGACGATACTAAAGAAACGAGTAAGCAATACAAAATGGAGTTATTATACTCTTATCTAGTATGAACAATAAGAAAATATGAAGAAGGTAATACAAAATTATTATTCGAAAATTTGCATGAGAAATGTCATGTAGCATTATTTTATTAAAAAAGACATACGAGAAACCTGAATACTGCCAAGATGTTAATCATTATGGAAAAGTAGTAACAGTTAATGTTGTTCAACGATATTGCGCAAAAGGCTTTTTAAAGTTGTTTGTTAAAGAAGGCCATTCACTTCATCATTTTTAAAAACAAATAAATAGTAATGTACAAAGCTAGAACTATTCATTCTGTTAGCAGGAATAATTCTTCTATAATTAGCCGATTTCTGCACCTATCTCTTCTGGGCTTGCCTTAAAATTGAGCATAAAATGTTTCTCTTAAATTGACCACATCCAAACATGAGTAATCCTTAGTGGGTTTACAGCATTCTTTTATTTTCCATACTTCGATTAAAAGTTCTTTAAGGACATTGAAACATGCACATGGGCATATACAGTTTATAATTCAACATTTATTTAATGTGAAAAAAATGCAGCAACCTTCATTACAATACTTTCTAACATTTTTGTCTTTCAAATTTGCCTATTAAAACATTGCATTTACTTCAATAGCGCCTCATCGGCATGAAATAGCTACAGACTAGATCGGAATGAGTTTGTTACCTGAAGTGTCTGTAATCGCTTGCCCCTCATGTCGACATTACCGCCTTCCATTGGATCGTTTGACGGATAATATCCTGTTACTACATCATCGTATCTGTGGTTCCCTTGGCAGTTAAATGATTGTTTAGATGTAAATGAAAGGAAGAACAAAGTGAAGTTAAGCATTTTTGTCAGACACAGTTATAACGGTCAGCTGGTTAAAATTTGAAATTAGGAAGTAATTTTATAAGAAAACATTAATCTTCCGCCTTCAGCTTATGTTTTTCTATTTTTCAAAATACATCGTAAATTATTTAAGTTTTAAGTACGATGAAATCCTGAATCATTGTGACAATTGCTTCCTTTTATCATTCACACCGAGGATGTTCAAGGAGAAGACATTTTCAAAATCTATGTAAAATTTAAAGAAAATTAAACAAATATTTGTAAAATATGTAATAAATTGCATTTTTGATTTTCTGAAATGAACAACATGGAGCGTAGAAGGCACATGACATTACTATCATTACTGGTGAATGATAAGAATGCTCTTCTAAAAATCATTTTTAACATCGTTTTATTGTATTTCGCATTTGGTACAATGAACTAAGTACATATCATACGATGCATTTTTTAATTAATACTCAGCCTGTCGCCCATGATGGGATATGTTATATAACTAATGTTGGAAAATATTTGTTTTACGATTTGGGTTGACTTACGTTTGAAAAAACTACCACAATGGTATCTTTATTTGTAGTACCAAAATATATGTGGGATAAATTTTATAAGATATCCTAATTGAAAAGAATATTGTTACGTCCAAGAAAATCTAACAATTTGTTTATACTACATCCAAAAACGAACTAAATTAATTTTTTTTTTATCTCCGATTGAAAATGTTTGGGTAAGTTATTCCCATTGGAACAGTAAATAATATGGAACATCAACACTGTTAGCGCTGTCATTTATTTTCTTTATTGAAGTTTGAGTAAATTTATGCCAACACTTTACACCGGTAATTTCTCAGACGATATTGAAATTTGAATTGTCCGTTTGGTTTCTTTCGCCTCTATTGTATGCCCATCCGAACGTAAATCATATCGAACATCAATTGTTATCCTTCTGGCACCCTCATTTCGCATCGGAGATTAGTGAAACTTATTTTAAAGGTTAATATAAGAATATTGGCACGCAGTGCATTTCAATTATTTTTATGGGAGTATTGCCAATCGAAAATAAAAGTGACAATATTTGAGCTGGGGACATTGGCTACTTTGCAGTAATTTTTGATCTGCAATATTTTTGATATCAATAGAGGAAGTTTTAGATAGGTTCCCCTGTCCTATTTTACTGTCCTTTCGACGGAGGGTATATTCTGTCTGTAGTCGTTTAATTTCAAGACAGTTTGATGTATAAGCCATCGAGTTTTCAAAAATGTCATAGAAAAAAGAAAAAGAGAGCGAAAACCTCTCCCGATCATTAATTACCGAGCAGTACTAATGGAAGATAATCTGGAGCAGGTTTGTTCATTTCCCGGCTTTTTACGAGAAAATTGTTGTATATCCACATGTATTTCTGTTGAATAATCAGGCTGTAGATGCATTGCTTCCTTTGTAGAAACTGCTTAATTTGAAGGTTACCGAAAATAGAGTAAAATAAAAGAGGTCGAAAGTCAAAGCATTGAATAAGAATAAAAATTACGGAATAAGTTAACAATAGGTAGCGTGACGTAAAAACTTAAATAACAGGCCCCATGACACAAGTAAAACATAACAATCACAGGGCAAATGTAGAAAATATAAGAATGTCCTCACTTTGGAAGAAGTAGAGTAAATATAATAGTGAAAATTACAGAGAGATCACTCTAACAAGTAAACAACAACAAAAACTTGTAAAATATAAGGGCATACACAACAAGCTAGAAGACACATTCTACTTGTTCAACACAGCATGAGCAACAAACATTTTAACCAATATAAAATGAGCAGATATTTAATGATTGCCAATGATACAGTTATCCAATAGAGACTAAATGACGGGGATGTAAACAATATCTCAATTGTTGATATCTGATGTACGTTTGGTATATAAGTTAGTTATACATTAGATGTTCGATTCATGACTGTAATACTCGTTTTTCTGTAAAAGAGAATCACCTTTCAATCCTCTACTTATGATTTATATCCTTATTTACTTCTACACGTATAATGTGGATCATTATGTTGATTGTGTCTTTTTCTCTTTTTATCAAGTATATTTCTAATACTAATACATTAATACTACGTGGTATGCAGCTACTAAAAAAACTAGTACATGTATACACTGATATCAAATATCTTTACGGGGTTGACAAACGAGGAGAGAAAACTCCTCTTGTGTTTAACAATGATAGCGATACGGTGTATACTAAACAACTTCAAGTAGAATTATTCAATTACATTTTTTTCTGTTAGTTCTATTGGCTAGACATTGGATTTTCATTTGATAACTTTTGGTTCCAATTGGCCCTCTGATTTCAGAGGAGAATGTCATCTCTCTAAATAATTGTTTCACAGGGTTGAAAAACGACATGGATAAAAGCTATGGGATGAAAATAGCTTGCATAAAAATTTGATCTGAAAATGAAAAAGAAACCAAAGGAAAATAAGTCGGAAAAAACATGCAAAAAAAAAAAAACCTTACAAAAATAAAATAAAAAAATAAAATAAAATAAAACAGTTTAAAAAACACTACACAGAACACACATGATTGGGTGACATTAACTCCACCAAAATAACAGGGATAAACGCCGTTAATTCATCGGGGGTGGGATTATCGCCTTTACGACAAACACATGGCATTTATTTTAAGCACTCTGTATCATAATAAATCAATTAAGAAAATTATTTAATCACTTTATTTAGTTTTATCTTGTCGGTAACTTCAACTATTGTGTTGATTTTTTTTTTAAGAAAAAAGCCTTTTTCTTAATTAGGAGGTATTGTAAGTGAGTTTAAATAACCATGTTATCATGTTCAACGATGCATTAATAAATCTAAGTTCACAATTAATTGGTTAGAAAAATACAAATATGATATAACACGTCTGTCTTTAAATTACCAGGCATCTGAATATCATCTGTAATTTACAAAATAAGACACATTCGAACTTATTTCCAAGTACATATAATAAGTATGCTACCGAAAATTCTATCAAGAAGCCTAATTCTAGACACATCACGATTTACTCACATAGGGATTTGCGAATAAACACTTGTAAATATATGTAGTAAAACAGATGAAAGCATACTATATTTATAAAACAAAGAATGGACAAATTAAATGTAATCATTTTGTTTTCAATTATGTGAAATAGCCAATAATAATCCAAAAATAAACGGGAAAACCCAGCTATTATTACAAAAATATCCACAGTAACATACACAATAAGAAAAACGGAAAAGCTAAAGAATAGGGACAACAAAGAGAAAATAGGGATTCGAACCTAAACCGACAAGTCTCTACCTTTAACTTGACTCTTTGATACTAACCATGTTAACCTCGCGGCTGCCAACTTCTACTAATACGATTGTCTATTATGTATCATAAAGGTACAAGCCATGTGTGTCCGTTGCACCGATGTGTATCATATGTTCATTTATATATATAAACTAAATATATAAATTGCAACCCATTGGTAGACGAGAGGTTTCGTCGATGTGTTGATGTCAGTCACACACAATAGATTTCAAGGAGGGGTTCGATTTCCAGTGAAGGCATATAAAAGTTACAAAAATTAAAGGTAAGTTTTTAAATTAATTCCATTAGTGAACAGAAATCAGTAAATTGGCCAATTCAAACTTAATGAAATAAGGCACACAAAGGAAAGAATTGAATATAATTTGGTGAGTCCATTTAAGTGACAGATTTAAGAAGCGTTGATTCTGGAAAAAGAATTCACGGTAAATGAATAGGCTGACGTCACGACAATGGTTTAACTTTTCAGACTTCAGGCTAATCCGGCAACTTGTTTTAAAGACTTAAAATAAAATAGTACTAAAATGTATCATTATGGACTGCAACGAAAACTTCTTGTATTTACATTGTAATAAGTATTGAAATTAAATTTGCACTGCTTTAATACACTTTTTAAAATTGATAATTAAAAATTCCAGATAATTTGCTTTCCCTTCATTATCCGGTAACATACATATACTATGGTTGTAATCTGGTATTTAGTTAAAAAAATAAGTATCCGGTGGACTGTTTCCATTTAAGTAAATTCTTCATGAATAAAATATTTATTATATAACAATACCAAATGCACAAAATTTATAGATGATTGTCATTTTAAAATTAACTTCTTTATAAACAAAAACAAAATTATAAAATTAAATCAATAAAATAAAAATTCCTGTCGCTCAATATAACAATAAATACGATGTACAAGCTATACGAATATGTTCCACTTTTCAAGGCCATAATCCCGTCGTCTCTATTCCCAAATGCGACTGATCACAGACCAACACGATGGGTGTCACCTTTTGAACAGGGACCTGCTTACTCTTCCAGAGCATCTGAGTTAATCCTTATGTTTTAAATAGGTTAATATGGCGTTTGCTTCAGTTTTTCTGTGTTGCATTTTGACTGTGTATTGTTCCTATCGGTCACGGTTTATTCTTTGTTTAGACTTTCATAATCGGTCGCCTCATCGGTGGAGCAGGACTTGGTGACCTTTCCGAAGCACTCGAGATCCTTTTCTGTAGCACTTGAGATCAATTCCGTTTTTGTTTGGATCCATGTTGGCCAATACTTAGTTTTCTTTGAAGTGTATTTTGTATATGTTGATCATTGACCTTCATAGATTCGTCTTTTTTTTCTTCTGATCATGATGTAATTTGTCTTTTTTCCACTTATGATCCCCTCTTTGGTATCTTCTACCATTTCGTTTCTAGAATGATAAAAATAAAGGCCTTCACAATTACTTCTATTTCAATGATATGGTTTGCTATATGCAGGTATATGAACTATCAAATTATTCCTTGAACTCAAACTGGTAAACATGAACTAATTATGACTAAATGCTCGGATATTATAAGATATGTGTCGGTGCAATGCGTATTTTCAACTATCAGACTCAGAAGATACCATCCGCATATGTATAAATGTAATTATAATCAATTTAAAGCTGAAAATCCTTCAGGAAAAGTTTACTTTGGATTGTGTTGTCTGTTCTGTTTTG